GCTCTTCCCAACCAACCTCATGCAGGTGCTTTGCCAGACAAGTGCCTGCATGAGGAAAGGAGGCCTCTTACAATAAGAAGCTTGTGGAAGGAGCCAGGGCGGCTGCCCCCTGTTCATTTCATGCTGGCAGCACGTACAGCTCATTTAACTGGCCCCACCAGTGTCAGGGTGCTGGGCTCAGGGGTCATTTGCTCCCCATCAGAGCACTTTCGTGCAGCTCCTGTCTCACTTGAGCTGCCCCTAGGTGACCGGAGACTAGCAGATGTGGACACGATGCTAGGGGCCGTGACTGGCATTTGCTTTGCAACTATCACCGGCAGGCCTTTCTCTTGACTAATTCCAGACAGAAAGGATGCTTGTTTGTCCTGGGAAGGAAGGCGCCACATGGGAGGGGCATTTGCCTGGGCATGCCGCTTTTGCTCCCCAAGATGGCACGATTACAGATACCTCATTCCCACTGATGAGGGAAAGCTGTGTCTAGAGAAAAATGACCCGTCTTAGCAGCTTCCAGGGCTGGGAGTCAGAGGTCTGGGTGGGGCAGGGCTTGGCCTGACGCACAAGGCTCCATCTTTAGCACCACGCAGTGCCGAACCCGGCAGGTGAGACCCCAATGACTCAACTCATGGGTTAAAAATTACGTGTTCCCAAGGATCTTTGCCTGTGGAATAAAGTTGCTGCAGATTTAGGGGCAAAAGTTAAAAATGATTTTGCATCTATGGGTAATGTATAAAAATGGGGCAAAGGAAAGGGCTATGAAGACAGAAGGGGACCATGAAAGCAGCCAGTAGGAAGAGGCTCCTAATTTGGGGAGGGGGTACATTTGGTTTGTAGAGTCGTTTTTTAGGCTAAGAGATCCTGCAGTCTAAGGCCCTATAAAATATTGTCTCTGAGCATAATTCCTCAAATGCCTGCAGTGCTTGGTTTGAGCACTTCATGCCCCAAGGAGCTTCAGTGCTGGCTGCCCCCTGCCAGAATGCAGGTAGGTTTTCCAAGTATGAGCCTTCAGGTCTGCCTCCTGTCCATAACGAGAGCCAGAACACGCTCTATGGCCCCTCATAGGTCATGTGTCCCCACCAACCTCGCCTGTTCTTGCCCAGTTGCTGTTTCAGGGGTTTGCCTGGATAATTTATATCTGAGAGGTTTGCTTCTGCATACCCTTTGAGTTGATTTAGCGTGAGACTAGATTTAGTTTATTTCTTTATGGTAAAAGATACCTTTTTGCTTTGGGAGGAACCACACGCTCAGCCCTCCAGCACCTGGAATCACCTGGACAGATGCCACTATTGGCACTGCATGACATCACCCCCAGTGCAGACCTGGAGCTGAGCACCGCATGTCTGGAAATGCCACCAGAGCAGGGCTAGCCTGGGAGCGCCTCCAGCAGGCACCTACTGAGGCAGCAATGGGCTTTGGGGAGGCCTTTTGGCTGGGCACACAGGAGTGGGTCTAACGAACTGGAGCTCAGGCGCCTCTGCCTGCTGGTGCAGTTCCCCAGAAAGAACCGTGGCACAAAGTGTGCTCTCGGCTGTTGTGCAGTTCCGTCTAGAGGAGCCCCTTACGGAGCCCCTCCCCCACGGTCTGGCACCCCATGCATCATCATCCAGCACCTGCCACGGACACCAGCTGGGCTCACCCCACTCTTAAATGCTGCAGCGTCTGCCCCTATGGTCACAAATCATTCTGTTTGAGTTTCCCTCCAAAGCTCATCTCAGGAATCCTAAAAGAAGAAAACCTCCACCCCCTGATTATTAAGACACGGAAGGCTGCATCTGTGTTCCTGGGGTTCAAGCCAGGCTGGAAAAAGATCATAAGGAAGATAAGGCTCGCATTTTCCAGCCCAATTCCATACGGCTTAAAGAGTCAGTTAACTAGACACAAACACACGCGGCAGGATGACACGCACAGAGGAAGGACTAAGCTTAAACTCATCAGTAAGTATGCGGGATCCCCGCCCCCAGCATGTGGGAGAGGGAAACTAGCCGAAAGTGAGCGTCCTGGTTGTGCTTTGGGTTGGCCTGAGGCTGAGCGTTCCGGTCAGAGGCACCAAGCAAGCTGACCTGAGAGTGGGCATCCCCTTTCCTTCCTTCCCCCACTCCTCCTCCTCTTCCTCCAGCTGCCTCCTCCCTGGGCTGCTGCAGTTCTGCAGTCACTTGAAGGAGAAAGATTTCGCAGTACGGCATTCTTAAAGCTGCAGTGTCCAAATTCTCCTTCAAGCCCAAACTGTCACCGACATCAGCTCACTTACCGGGGTCCTTTGCAGAGGGTAGGTGGGCGAGGAGATGAGGGACGGGGGCTTGGAGAAGTCGGGCGGGTGGGAACCAGACAGGCAGACCCTGGCAAGGGTAAAGAGGAGAGGCAGGCTGCACCGTGATAGCCTCTGCAGTTAAACCAGGTTGCCGGGACTGCAGCGGGACTGCAATGGAGTAGAATTTTTTTTTTAATCATAAAAAAATAACCAGAATTTCCTCCACGAACTTATATTCTTTGCAGCTTAATTAAAACACAAGGTGCAGACATAGAAGCAACGGGGAAACAAAACCATTTTTTAAAATTCGACCAGCATTTTGAAATTATTTTTAAAAATGTATTCCTATGAGCAACTGACTCAGCTTTGCCTACATGGCTCTGCCGGAAAGCCATTAGGGTAGGACCTGGATAGAGTTCATTGAGCCCAGAGTTCCTGCAAAGTGCAGGGAGAGGACTCGAGTTTCTTAGAGGAGAAAGCATTTTAAAACCCTGAGGAAGGGAATCTTGCTGCCGGCTAGCTAAGGAGCGAATAAATGAGGGGATCTAGCATCCAGAAAACAACACACCCCTCCCTGAAAGTTACCTCTCTCTTCTGCTCAGCGGCTGCCGTCCTGCCTGGATGCTGGCAAGTTGCAGACTGTGCTGGAGAGGCAGGACCCAAAATAAGAAGTGTCAGCTGGGTCCCTGCACCGAAATGATGCCGGGGAGTCAACGCTGCGGGCGGTGGGGATGGTCTCTCTCCCTCCCTCCAGTTTAATTTAAACCCCTGACACTGCAAGATGCCCACTCCTACAGAGACAGATCTCCAAAGAGCCTCCTCCCTCCCCACACTCCCTCACAACTAGGTCCAAGACTTTGCTCCACCTCCTAGATGTGTTCACCTGAAGATGCTTTTCTTGCACAAAAGAAGACTGAGACTCTGCAGAATTCTTCATCCTTAATTTTGGGGAAGGTGAGACTTGTTCAGAAGTTTGAAAATTGCAGCCTAATGCCCAGGAAGGAGCAGAGGCAACACATGACTGTCTGCCTTGCTTCAGACGAGCCAACATTGCTTTACTCAAGAAAGACGGAGGTGGGCCCAGGATAAAAAGAAGAGGAAAATTCCTCTCTGTCTGCTGGCAAATTCTCAACAGTTGGGGAAATCT